ACATTCAAAAATCAGGTTCGAACTAGCGTTAGGAATAAACTTCTATGCTGTCTATATCTTATTTTTTTCCTATTCGTCGTATTCCATAAAAATTAAAACTGTAATTTAGGGTTTATGTCAGGGGTCGGCAACCTTTTGTTGCTCGCGGGCTAAATTGAAGGTTGCAAGTATTGGCGGGCACACATATTTTTTAAAAGTTAAAAACGGAACAGCGCGCGAAGACTGCGACAACTCGTGAACTCATCTCAGTCGTTTTATTGAATTAAAAGAATTACAAATGACATTTAATGTGACACGGTCTTGTTGTTGCATCACGCTTGATAGCTTTTCGACGGCACACTGAATGAAGCCAAAATTAGAACATTTTTTAAATGGGCATCATTTATCCTAGTTCTCTGTTTCTTCATTATAATATTCATTTTCGAAAACAATTGTACTTTCAAACATTGAAGTGAAACTTTATGCATGGTTTGTCAAATTTTGATAAAGATTTTTTTTAAGAAGATACATATTTATAAAAATTAAGCAATGATGCATCTCTCGAATAGAATATGAATTTTATTTCCTTATTGCATTACATCTCAAATAGCTCCATTTGAATATTTTCTGCGCTTTTGAAGCCCTGCACTCACAATCATCTTTTCTGCGTGTTGTCATTTGCCTATTTACAATAACATTGTAGGATCGTTAAACGAGTAGCTGTTCACTAAATTGTTAGGTTATAATATAGTTTAGTCTAAACGTGTCTCACGATAAATTCTGTTACGTAAAAATATAATCTACTCCTCGAGCGTAGATTATAACCGTCGAAACCGCCGTTTTGTCGCTAAATTCAGTGAAGCGTCGCGGGTCGGATTATTTTACTCCGCGGGCCGTAGGTTGCCGATCCCTGGTTTATGTAATACTATCTAATGTGGGTCCCGCGGCAAAAATTAGGTATAATTCGCGGCCCCAGAAGACATTTGTGTTGGACATGGCTGTTTTAGGCCATGTAGATTGGTTTAGGTAGAACGCCATCTACTTTTATGGTCGTTAAAAGAAGTCAGTTACAAATTTACACTTGGTGATTGGCTTGAGTCACAAAAAATTATGTTAGTTTTATGCCGCTTGTCTGAATCATCTTACTTTCAATGTGTATGCAATGTGAAACCATGCTTTGCGTATGAAGAATCAAAGAGAAACCTGAATAATCATAACCGGATCAAGGATGATTTTAAATCATTTAATATAAATCCTTTATATTAAGCCGTATTAGCATGCAGTTTGCTTTTAAATTTTATCGCATTTTTTCCGGACTCCCACAATTAAAATACTACCCATTCTGCAATCTTTGTTTATCTGTAGATGCCAATTCATCTCAATAAATTTATGTTTATAGTATGGATGTTCGTATTCACAAAGCCATATACTGCACAATTAAGTCCATGTAGATTCCAATTTCTTCTAACGCAACGAATACAGTTGTGAGCGGCTGATTGCAAACATGGAATCGAGTTCAAATGCATTGTTGTATATCTAGGACGTTTTTGAGCCGATATGTATCAGTGTTTCCGTTCCTAATGCAAGAAACCAAAGATAATCGAGGACTTGGGAGTACAATCATTGCAACACGGAATGAAAAAGTATTCCTAACAATCTATTAATCAGTTTCACGCATCTTGAATTCTTATCGTTTGTCAACTACAGAAAGGGAAAAATCTCGTATTTGATTTTCCTCAGGATCAACCCAGACATAAGGCGCTTTTCAGGATAGAACGCCTCTTTTCGTTGCCAACCTAATATAATATGTATATATATCAGAGTTGGATCAATTGTAATTTGTAATTGATGTAATTAAATAACACGAAAAAGAACGAAATATTTTTTCATAGGGCGTTTCCCGAGAATCGCCTTCCTTTTTTATTAGGGTATCGGTAGCGTGTCCATATATTTGAGCATTGCTCTGTTGTAATTTGATATATTTTGCACAGAGTAATTGTAATGTAATTGAAATATTTAAGGGGGTAATTGTAATTGAACTGAATTACTGTAATTGATCCAACTCTGATATATATATATATATAGGACAATAAAATTTAATGCGCGATTATCTACTTATTTCGTCCTCAATGTGCACAATCTTTGAAGGGCCGGACGGATCGTGTCATTTGGGGGCTCTAAGCACTTAGGACTATGGTGCCCTATTTCAAAATATTGACAGCACTAATTTACACAAAATAGTATCCATCAAGACTAATAATAAGAACGAAAAGTGCTCAATAACAATGATTAAATTCCAGTGTTCATTACTAATTGAGGAGCAAGTTATGATTAATTTACATGTTTGTTTTTTGGAAATAGTACTCATACTTACAAGCATTTATAGAGAGTTTTAGAATGATAGCCTGCTTGAGAACAAAATAAGCAAAAGTTTATTTCAACCAAACAATATTTGGATTTGAGTCGACAGATCAACTCAAATTTTTCACTCATGCATGGCATATAGACCACTGAAAAAGATTTTGTTTTATTCAATTTCGGTATATTAAATAATATTTTCTTGTCTAATAGCAATCTCAAGTAGTATTGCTCTTCGTCGTGAATGTACCAGGAAAGTCCGTCCATGGCTGCAATCGTTTATTATCAAAAGACATTACTATGGAAAAAAAATTGTTATGTTGGAATTAATTTCTATCATATCCGGATAGAAACATTTCCGGTTATTTGTCGGAGTCATTATTCGCATATTTTCACTATCAAATTACTACTAAAATTTTAAAATTATTTTTACACGTTTACACGCGTCAAAACTATTCGCCTACTCGTGGCAACTTTGAGTCAATGACGGAAGTGAGCGTTGGTTTTAGTGTTGTATTTGAATATAGAAAGAGATCTAGAAACTTGAGTAATAAATATAATACTAATAATGATCATATATTTTAACGACTTTCTTCAATTTGGAAGAATGAACGAGCATCTATAAAAAGGGATTTATCAAATTGACGAGGTTGTCAAATTTTAACCTCAATTAAAATCCCAGAGTCGGATCTTTCCGTACGTACTGATATGACATGTCGCATACTTTAATGTTTAATTGAAGCCGGAAAAGATCAAATGTACCTACCTGTTTCACGATAACTTTATACTTCTATAAATTTTGCCCAACAACTTCTTTTCTTGACCCAATAGCCAACAATATGTATATTTTAGCCCATAGGAATCGCATTCTATATTTATTGAAACGAGTTTTTAATGATACCGTTCATCGGTACAGTATATAGCACCAAAGTACGCAAATGCGTCATCAAAGGCTATTGAAGTACGCATATACGTTTATTACGAAGAGGAAATAGTGGCGTGAACTCTGTACTGGTGTAACGCGTTTTTAGCGAGCTTATATTTTTTGAAAATCGGACGATGCTTAGTATGTGAGATTAAAAAGCGAGACAAACAACCTGCGGGCTGTTATACAGTTCGGAGGATCGACGCGAGTGCCCTGAATTACCGACGACAGAACCATTTGCATTTAATATATAATTCAAGTTACTGCAAGTGGATCAAGGTAGAATGAGCAGGCAGTTACAGTATTTGGATCTTTTGTACAAAGTCCCCACCAGAAAACACACCCGTTACGTGAATTTAGTACTGTAATTATCCAGTTAGGGTTAGGAATGCAGATTGCGCTGGAAAATCAAATTTTCAAATCATTCCAAACGCCAACTGAATAACTACTAATTTTTATTTAAAACGTGGTGGGGTTATTTTTCTCAAATTTCCCATTTTGGCATTAGTGGCGAACCCTTTGTACAAACGATCTGACTATTGTTGTTCTAGTCGAGGTACGCCCGATTTCACTCATACCTGTGTAGTGGGCGTGACGTACCATTGCTGTTTTTGATGGTTATATATATATGGAATCCCTTATTATCCCTCTCTCATTTTTTTCCTTATTTTATTGCTGTGAATGACAAAGTATCATTGTAATAGCCCTAAAAATCCAACCTGATGTATATATGGCAGCCCAAGAGCACGGATGAATCCATTCAAATGTCGATCGCGACCATATACCCTCTTTGCTCATAAGTCAAAAGATTCATTCAGTCTCCTCTATATATATTCGCTCAGGTGCTAGAAAGACTTCGGTACAGTCCGTGCCTAACGGTTTAAAATTATTAAACAAATTGAGCCAAATGTAAAATTCTAGCAATTTGGCTCAAATTAAAATTCATAGTCTCATAAGCTATGTTTCGAGCATGTTTTGCCTGTATACATGACTAGACAAAATGTGTAAAATATCAATCAATACCACAGAACTGTTCAAATATTTATATTTTTGATTGCTTGTGGTTAGGGAGATTGTACCTGAAAGGTCGAACAATCTCGGTTTCAGATTCCATGACCACTAAAAGTGTATCAAAATGATTAAGATACGCCCACTGCCAATATATTATATTTCACCTACGAACAAGATGTTCTTAAAAATTTGAAATAATGAAATTTAAAAATGTACCTCCTCTCTTATAATTCGCAGGACAAGATAGGCTATATATACATCATGACTTGCTAACATATGGTAGTAACAAATGGTAAATATTGTAAATGTTATATTAATTATAGGTTTTTGTCAAAATGATGTACGTATTTATACTTCATATATAAACGCTATCGCCCACCACGGTTTACAGGTCGCACACCGAGGCCTAAGATGGTCAGATCCATTTCCGTTGTGGCTACCTAGCTTGATAGTGTATTCAAATTACCGCATAATTAATAGCATGCGTTAGTCACCGATCTACGTTAATACGGATATAATAACAGTTATATATGAATGATACAAAGACGAGTTGCACGTTTGCGTCACATTTTATCGCCGTTCATTACTTGGCAGAGAAAGGAAAAATACTGTATTTTCTTTTGAATTGAGGATATGATATGAGTGATTCACGTTGAATTGATTAGAGGCGTACTGTAGTTTAAAACAACTAATAGGAGATTTATTATTTTCTTAACCCATCAGTTAATAAACCTTGTATATTTTGGAAATATGGGACAGAAAACATCAAAACAAGATGACCTCGTACATGCCTTTAAGCAAGCGAAAGCAAATATTGTCATTATAGGAGTAAAGAAATCGGGTGAGCTCATCACTTTTATGTCATACTACGCTCAAGCTGAAGTCTATGCAATAGCGTACTCCAGACATACCCCCCCTAAAAAAAATAAAAGAGTTCCAAATGGACTGAGTTTTGTTTTATATATATATATATTTCCACAATGAAGTTCATCATATTATATAATGAGTGTGTTTAGTAATATGGGAGACAAATAGGAAGACAAATCATTTTGTTGTGAAAGCGCTCCCACCTAATCTAATTTTGAAGCGGCCAAAGTTTCGGTGAAAGTGTATCGTCATGGTTTTAATAAATTTCTAAAATATCCTGATTATCTTTCGTATTTTTAAAATATTGCTTAGCATTTCATCAAATATACTGGTTCGATAATTTTCTTGTTGGGGCAATGACATCAGTTGTCATGTGATAAATTACAAAAATATATTATATTGTTTACCTACAATACTGCCTCTTTGAAACCATTCAAATTTTATTTTCCGGTATGCCTATTTATTGAATAGAAAGTAACAAACAAAATTAGATGTATGAAGAAGCTATAATATATATTTTAAACCCAGGAATGACATCAATATTGCAAAAGCTGATTCCAAACAACCCTAATTTTGGTGGATCGATGATGGGCAATGCTGCTACGACGATGACACCTTATAAAGGTGTTAATTTAACCATGTGGGGAATTGGATTCGGTTTAAAACGACCTCCACTCTGGAATTATCATCTCAAGAAGGCAGAAGGTACGATAGCTTTATATTACACACAAATGCAAATAATAACTATATATAACTATGAATACAAACCATAGTTAAATAATAGTATATCAACTTCTTGACATAGTCTATTGCAAGAAATCTCTCCCACACGTTTTAAATGATTAGTAATTAGTTTAGCATTTATTATTAAAACGTGTTATTTATATGAGATTTCATATTTTGTATATTTGAAAATTTTGTAATTCTCTACTTTGTTATTTTGTTTTTGATAAATGAAAATAAAAGACATTTCCCCAACCTATGCCCTAATGTTAATTTTCGAAAGAAAATGAAAATAAGACCCTGTCTTATTTTCGGGTAAACGCGGTATCTATATGTCCAAACTCTGATCACACTCCAAGTACATAAGTCATAACAATTTCCCGTTACATTGCAGAATTACTTCTAATTGTGGACAGTGGCAACCGACGTACTCTCGTCGCAATGAAAGAAGAACTAGACGAGATATTCGAGTCG